GTATTACTATATACACAATTCTATTCTAAGAATAAAATCTCTTCTGAAAAAATTATTAAAAGGAAATATACAACGTGATAAAAACAATGTTCCCAGTTCTCTTTCAAACCTTTTGAAAAACTTTCACTATTCGTGATCACAACCGTATCGGGTTCCGACTAGTCCTATTTTGTTTAATTCTGCGATTAGTTTTTCAATCTGTCTTAGAACTCTTATTGTACCGTTACCCCAATTTTTTATACCGTTCCAAGTCTTCCAGTTACTGTTCCTACTCTTCTTTGAACTGTCCCAAGCTTTCTCTCTACTGTCCCAAGACTGCTCGGTACTGTCCCAGTACTTCTTGTTAGTGTCCCAAGACCCATGTCCCAAGACCCCTATTCCAAGACAAGTGTCCCAAGGCTACTGTCCCAAGAATAGTGTCCCAAGACTAATGTCCCAAGACTACTGTCCCAAGACTGCTATCCCAAGACTACTGTCCCAAGACTACTGTCCCAAGAGTACTATCCCAAGAGTACTGCCCCAAGACTAATGTCCCAAGACTAGTGTCCCAAGACTAGTGTCCCAAGACTAGTGTCCCAAGACTAGTGTCCCAAGACTAGTGTCCCAAGACTACTGTACCAAGACTGCTATCCCAAGACTACTGTCCCAAGGGTACTGTCCCAAGACTACTGTCCCAAGACTAGTGTCCCAAGACTAATGTCCCAAGACCACTGTCCCAAGACTATTGTCCCAAGACCACTGTCCCAAGACCACTGTCCCAAAACTACTGTCCCAAGACCACTGTCCCAAGACCACTGTCCCAAGACCACTGTCCCAAGACTGTACCGTCCCAAGGCTGCACTGTCCCAAGACTGTACCAAGACTGCTCTGGCCCAAGACTGTCCCAAGACTGCACCGTCCCAAGGCTGTCCCAAGACTATACTGTCCCAAGACCGTCTCAAGACTGCACTGTTCCAAGACCGTCCCCAGACTGCACTGTCCCAAGACTTCTTTCGTTTTGTCCCAAGACGGTCACCAAGTGTCTGGACAGTAGGATTTCTTCTTCTTCGTTGTAGGGACTTCTTGAATCACTGTATCTTGTACCACCACTTGAGTTCTAGTAAAAATTTTCCCAAAAACCCTCTCTTAATGACCAAAAGCTTCAAATACCGACCCTTCTTTTCTATCTCCTTTTCGATGTTTCAAGCAACTTGAAACCAAAACTTGTACGCAGGTATCTTGTGATCACCTGTTCGTTTAAAAACCAATCACAAATTCTTACCAAAATGTAAAAAAAATTAAACAGGAAAAAGTAATAAAAACAGAGAGATGTACCCACCTAAAATTCAAACGTGACAGATGTCTACCTTCCATCGAAAAAATGTCTGGTACCTGATTGCCACGCGTTTTCCTCCCCCTGCTAACGATCTTATGGGGTATTTTCTATCCGGGTTCGTTTTCGTGCCCCCCACCTGATCCGACTGTGGTGCCCACCTTAACCTGATCTTATTTTGGATATCCGCTTCTTATAATTGACGCGTGTAAAATTCTAATGTAACTAAATCAACGATGTCGATTATTTAGTTACTTAGTTACTCTAATTTCCTCCCTTTTTACAATTTTTAACCGCTAACCTCTAACCTAACCAGCCCCCCTTCTAACCTCCCCCCTCTTTAGCCCCCCTCTTAAGCCAAAAATTACCTTAAGCGCCGGGTGCTAAACCTCTTGAGAGAAAACCGTAGAACTGCCTCCAGGCCTGCTTGTGCAAAAACGTTCCTCAAAACTGGGGAATTTTGCTTATCCAATTTTACACTTATCTCCTATAAAGTAAAGTGGATTTTAACGATACCTGTTTTGACCAACTTGAGAACTCTAGAACAGCCAAATGCTCCTAGACCACTTTCCCACTCGGCTGGTCACCTCTTCCAGTCAAGCCTCCTAGTGGTTCGACCAAATCCTCCTGGACCACTTTCCCACTCGGCTGGTCACTCCTTCCAGTCAAGTCTCCTAGTGGTTCGGCCTAATCCTCCTGGACCACTTTCCCTCTCGGCTGGTCACCTCGTCCAGTCAAGTCTCCTAGTGGATCAGCCCAGCCCCTTGTGAACCACTTTCCCACTCGGCTGGTCACCTTTTCCAGTCAAGTCTCCTAGTTGTCCAGCTAAGTTGCAAGCTATCTGAAAACCCTTGACATCGCCCCACACTCGGGAACTTTTTTGAGGTTGCTGGATTAAATTGCTAGATTGATCGAAACGATCGAACTTATAAAACAGTATAGGTATACTATTTAATTATTATAATGGTTTGATCCAACTAATTAGGTGTCAAAGTCACTGTCTTTTTTGGTTTTATGGTTTTTGTTCCTTTTTCTATTCTATTTTGGTTTTTTGTTTCGCTTTTTGTCATTTTGCTCGTGTTTTTGTCCCCCTAGTCACCCCCCTTACTCGGTTAGCTAAGCCTCGTTCGGAGAGCGTACCAGGAATTTTTCTCGAGTTTCCTAAAAAGCTATCACGGTACAACCGGAAGGTTTGCACGTTCCAGCCGAACCGTACCACCGGTACTCTAGAATGGGCATGCAGCCCGGAGCTCTCTGCCAAGTGGGTTCGACTCCGTAGTCTTGATGTCGTAACAACACCCGGGAGCGCCTTAAAAACACTATGAAACATTCGTCTACTTCGGTCACATATGAGGCTTAAGAAAAATAGGCCCTATAACCATTGGCTCAAGAGTCAGGGACACTATCTCTTGTGTTTTTCTACCTCAAAACGGTCGCAGCCAATTCGGTTCACTTGCGACATGAGACTACGACCCGTTACAGCTTAAAGGCCACTACCAAAATATCCCCCAATCTAGAAATAAGAACGTCCCATACTTAAGTCTCAAAATACCCAAAATACACGAACGCCGTTAAAAACCGGGTCGGAACAATGCGTTAAGTTACTTTTTATTAGACAGTAGAACTTTGAGCCATTTCAGATGGATAAACCTAAAACTCGCCTTATCTTAACATAACAATCATAAAACACACTCAAAAAAACTAAATTTGGAACAAATATGTCGACACACTTGAGAATCGGGAGTAATTAAATTGATGAGCAGCTCGAGAAATAAATACAATAACTTGAGAAGTTCAATACTAATCAGTTTTAATAAAGGAAATAAGTTTTGACTCTAGAATTGCAGTTTTAGTCTGAACCATTGGGACATTCCAGCTGTCCACCTTTCCACTGAAGGTTCACTCTGGCTCAGTTCGAATAATTGTACTCTTCTCTCGCGATTATCTCGTCTCCTATTTCAAGATAAGACGGCTCTACTCGTGTCTTATTTTGTATCTGGAAACTGTGAATAGCAGTTTCCCGCTGCTTTCTTAAGTACTTTCCCGCAATTGTAAGTTTGGTCGTTCTGTTTTTTTTTCCCTATTTTCAGTTGCTGCGAGAAACTTGAGCATGACAGGCTCAATTCGAAATTTTTAAAAATTAAATTTCACTCCCAAAACCATGTATCTCGTGTTCCTCAAGGTCAAACTTCCAAATATGAGAGACTGGCACAGCTGGAAGCAAGGCCTTCTCCGAGCGACAAATTTTTTTCGGAAACTTACAGGTAGGATGCGGTACCAAACGAGGAGCAGAAATAGCTGCACACTCGTTTCGAAACTTAATTGAACGCGACGACAATCCAAAATGCACTGTTCTTTTAAAACTAGATTTTAAGAATGCCTTTGACTCTCTAAATAGAGAAACAATGTTGAATCATATTTATTCAAATCGTCCCGAATTGTATAATTACACCCATGGCGCGTATGGTGAACTTAGTTACCTTTTTTACGGAAGCTCTGTCATAATGTCAGAAGACGGAACTCAGCAAGGTGATCCTGAAGCCCCACCCCTTTTTGCGGAAACAATTCATACACTAGTCAAACAGTTGGAGTCGAAAAAGAACATTTGGTATTTAGATGACGGAAATTTGGCCGACGACTATAAGGTAGTACTCCGGGACCTTAAAAACATTCTGAAATTGGAGCAAATTTACGGCCTGAGCTTGAACACTGAGAAGTGCGAACTTTGTTTTTAGGGACCGACTGCTAGTACACAGTATAATTCAATTATAACACAATTTTGAAAACTTTTCCCCAAAATAAAAATTAAAACAAAAGAATAACTCCTCATTTTAGAATCTCCAATCGGCGAACTTTGCCGAAAAGAATTACTCGACGAAAAAATTAAGGAGCTTGAAAAAATATCGGATGTCATTGGCAAACTAGACGCCCATTATGGTTTTTACCTCCTGAAAAATTGCTTTAGCAAGCCAAAACTCCTAAATTTCTTGCTTTTTTTGCAAAATGATTTTTTGGAACGCTACGACAAATTACTAAGAAATTCGTTATGCAAGGTCACTAACGTGAAAATGGATGATAACCAGTTTTTACAAGCAGTTCTCCCGGCAGCCAAAGGTAGCTTGGGCGTTTCATTCGCTCGTCTACTAGCTTTACCCGCTTTCTTAGCCTCAGCAGTAGGAGCGAAAGATGCCTTGAGCGAAATCTTTGGTTTGGAGCATGTGGATGGAACCTATGATGATGCGCCCAAACGGTGGTTTGAACTGGGAAAAATTGAAGTAGCTCCGGAAAATGAAATCCAAAAAAGTTGGACGGAGCCAATTTTTGACAGCGAAAATGCACGTTTGATTTTACGACTCGAACCAACAGACGTAAAAAGATTCAACGATTTCCAAGATAGATTTGGCTCCCAATGGTTGAACGTCATCCCGTGCAAAAATTTAAGATTAAAACTATCGAAAAAACAACTCAGATTTGCGATAGGACTTCGATTAGGCTTAAAATTATGCGAACGACATAAATGCGTGTGCGGAAAAGACGTTACCGAGGATGGTTGGCATGGTCTTTCATGCCTCAAAAATGCACGGAGATTCTCTAGGCATTCAAACCTGAATGCCCTTATAAAGCAGACTTTATCTACTACTCACATTCCGTCTGTTTTAGAACCACGACACCTCTACAGGACCGATAGAAGCGACCAGACGGTTTGACGCTCGTTCCATGGGCTGTTGGTAAGCAGCTCTTGTGGGATGTAACGGTAGTAGACTCCTTGGCTTCTTGTAGGATTAATGACGGGTCGGTTTGTAACCCTGGTACGGCTGCCGCTGAAGCGGAAGAGCAAAAAAAAGACAAGTATAAAAATCTTGTAGATGATGGATATCTTTTTCAACCGCTAGCTTTTGAAATTCAGGGCGCGGCCGGCCCCAGCACAGATTTTTTTTTGAGCAAGCTTTGTAAGAACCTAAGCATATGCACTGAGGAACCCAGAGCAGGCAGCTTTTTGAAACAGAGAATCTCCCTGGCAATACAGATTGCGAACGCGGCTTGCGTACTCGGAACAATAAATGACAAACGGTAGTATTTAATTGAAAAGGACTTAAACACTTGACATCTTCTTTTATCATTATCACTTCCATATCTAGAAAATTCGAAGGATTTTGACTGGAATACATGATGAAGGGACTCATGACTGTAACCTCGGTTACTATGATACTTTTGACCTTCTGATTACCTTTAAGAAAAGTACAATCGACTTATCAGAAAAAAAATGATTAATTTTTTTGGAGTTGATTTCAACAAGGCTTTCCTTAACGATTTTAATCCAGAATTACATATGCTTAATTGCCAGGAACATTTCCAGCCAGTATGTGATCCGGAGATGGAGTCAAACGAGTGTCATAGCGAATTGATTGCTTAAGGTGTCCCAAATCATTATTTTAACTTGAATCAAAGCTGGACGGACCACATGTCACGTGCTAATTCAAAGATGACGGACCATAATGCAGTTTTGGCCTTACCAGAAACTGTTCAGGGTTTCACAATTCCGAACACTTCCGAATCGTTTATTCCTTCGCAGTATTCGTTCAAAAAAGAGTTTGAAAACTATTTAAAACGACAGCAGATGAATTTAAATCAAGCTAGAAACAAAGCAGTTGAAAGCACTCAGAAAGCATTGTGTTTCCAAATACCTTCCCGAGTTCTGAGGGAAACAAAGTGTAATTCCTTTGACGAATTCGAAAGTTACATAAGACGTAAGTCGAAAAAAGTCAGTTGGTTGCCTTTGAATTAAGTTGAGTATAGAACGGTAAAAAGAATGCTAGATAGATTGGATCTCATTTCTTTCATTAATTTTTGGTTTTATTCGTATCTAGATTTATCAAAAGTTAGGCCATGGTATGTTTTGTCTAATTTTTCGCGTATTTTGTCCAGGATAAACAGGAGCTGTAGGACGGCTGACCGGTCCTAGTCCCCAAACTAGCTGGGTGCAGTTTGTTTTCAGCTACCACAAATAATTGTCGGAGAGAGTTGAGTGATATATCAGTCGTGATTCGAACATTATGCTTAAGTTTATTTTAACTGAATTGAAATTAGTTTTTGGAGATTTCTAGTGCCATTTTGGGAATCACAAACTTCAAACACTCAAAAAATTTCTGCTAAAAATGGAAATTTTTTTGAATGATTTGTTTTTCTAGTCATTTTTTTCAAGACCTGTACAAAGTAATATCGAAGTTTTTAAACGTTCGATATCCAAAAAGTTTTTGTCAACTGGACTGGAATGCTCTGAAAAGAAGCGACTGAAGATCGAACTTTTTCGCCGTTGAATGGTTTTCCTAATTTTTTTAGGGTTGATTTTTTCGCCGTTGATTGTTCTCTCTTGTGTATTTGAGGTTAATTCAAAGAACAACTACCCTTGGTGTTCAAAAGTTCGCCGGCTCTGGATCACTTTCTTTCCTGGTCATTTCTGATCTCCTCTCTCAGCTTTTCTTGTTTTTTCATTGTTTTTTTCGTTGTCCGTTTCATTGTCGCTACTGTTTTTAGTTGATGTGAAATTGTAATCTTATCCTTTGGCATGATTATTAGGCTTTTTTCGTTGTTGAAACGCACCTCTTGAACAGATTTTGTACTATTCTCAGAGGCGTCTCTGAGTTGGTTTTCTGGAGAGTTTGAGATATAAGTTGATATTCGAGGAAGCTTGTTACAATTTGGTCGCTCCAGTGATGATTCAGTTGATTAAGAGGGCTAGACCCTATATAGTGAACTTTTCCGCAGCACTGATCTGAAACTATTTAGTGAGTTTATATCAAAATTTGGCCTCTTGTTTTATTTAAATTTATCAATGGGCCTAATTTTTTGTTGTGGGTAAAGCTGAGGTCTTTTAATGGGTTTTTGTTAATGCATACTTATTAGTTTCCGGCCGTTCGCTAAGATGTGTTGATGGTTTCCTCTTGTTTTAATTCATCAATGGGCCTAATTGAACGGATGTTAGGACCATCGAAGTACATGAACGCATAAATAGGAACGAGTATATAGATATTGTCATTCTGCAAAAAATGTAATTCTGATTTCCTTTTTTTCCTGCGTTCTTTGCTATGCCTATTGGACCTGACGAACGAATTAAATGTTTTCCGCATATAAGATTAGGTCCCGAGTTCTGGTTTACAGGTATCCTCAATAAAATCTAATTTCGATAAAATTTGATTTGAGAGTTTTTCATAAGTGAGAAAATATTGAATAGTTCTGGCTACCAAAGGTCAAGGTCGTTTTCTTTAATTGTTTTTAATGCATTCTCCTGAATAATTTCACATATATTTATCCGAACTTGAGGTAGTGTCGAATTGCGGAAGCCAAATTGAAAAGTAATGACTGCTAAAACTTCTGAACCATACTACTCTCTATGGACTAAATATTTTGGCATTTAAAATTCGATTCCATTTGAGATTCTGCGTTTTAAAAAAAGTTTTATTTGCTAGTAAAGTGAATCACTATACTCTTTGACAACAAAAATTTCGCTGATGTATGCCTGGTGTTTATAACTTAGGTTATTGAAATAAAAGTTAAGCTAATATATATACCTAAATATCATTTTTTTGAAGAATTTTTGGCTACGTGAATAACCATACAGATTGGGTATTGGTGCCTCAGAGGCGCCTCTGTATTGTTTATCTTTTTCATTTCAATTTTGTTTAGACATGAGTTTCAAAGAGAGGGAGCTGTTCGAAGTTGCGCACCAACTGTGTCCAGGTGCTCTGGATCTCATTCCCTATTCCCCACTTCCCCAGTGCAATATCAACGGATCTTTGCCTCCAGTTGTGTCTTATATACAATCGCAAGGTCAGTAGTCAATAAATAAAGTACTAGAATATCGAAACAATTCTCATTATTTCAAACGCAGACATCATTCTCATAAAGAGTCGGTGAATGTAGTTTTTTCTGGAAAGGTCTTAAAATTTGTTCACGAGGCTCAAGTATAGTTTTTTGCGGTTTGACTTGAGTTCTTTTCAAGTTTAATTCATTTCTTTTTTTAAAACAAAGGCAAACTCCTGTCAAATAGCAAAAATGTAAAGTTCATAAAAACGTGATCGACTTCTAGTTTCGAAAATGGAGTTTAATTTTCAGATTTCTCAGTGAACTAAAAAAAAATTGCCTATTACTCCAGTTTTTTTAAATTGGGTTTATTGATCAAATAAGTATCAATCATACACTTTTCTGGAATTAAAAAGAGCTTTAAGGCTATCTATTTTTTTCGAAAGTTCGTAAATAATGTTTTTTTTCGGCTTTCTTGCATTCATTGGCTCTTTTCCAACTGTCTGTGGCTATGTTTTTTTTTACTATCAAAACAAAATTCATTCTCATTATTTTAATTCCTAATTTAGATGAACTGCAAAGCATGCTGAACAATCTTGCTTTGAAAAATAGCCTGACTCGGAACGTAGTTTCCCTTGGCAACGGATCTACTATGTCATCTCAGGTCGACAATGCAAAATGTTTCGACAAGAATAAACAACCGTCTGGCTTGATGGATTTTCCGTTTTGTGTTCCAAAGATGCCGAGTAGGATGGCGTCGGATCCAGTCAAACCAAACTTGAATGATAGCAGCGATATGAACCCTAATTTGGCCTCCTTGCTCTACGCACACCTTCCTTATTTCCAAGGTAAATTAAAGACCTATCTGTCTTTAGAAAAGTCAATCGGCAAAATTTCTGCGCTATACCTCTTGTTTCGTCTTTCTGCGGTTTTCAAAAAGTTAAGGTCTGACGTTTGACTACGATAACTTTTGATGACTAAGTTTTTGATCTCTTGACCTCCTGCTGTTACAATCCAATTTGATTTTAAAAAAATGGGCTGAGGGTAATTTGGGTCAAATGAAAAAAGGTGCCGAAATTATACTCGAATCCCGCTTCTGTCACAGTTGGAGTGGAAGTGTCATCCGCCTCCTCAAGGTGGTACCGGCTGCGGCTAAATAGATGACATCTCTCTCTTCTCGGAAGAAAGGTCCAGGGTAGAACGGTGGGAGCTGGGCGGCGGCTTGTAAATTAAATCTTATAATATAAAAATCCTTCAAATAGTGCTTTAATTTTAGTTAGTATATACTGACACTGAGGGGTATTGTCATTGTGGAGAAATAGGCAAAGTTTTTTCGTGGTGAAATAAAGTTACGAATTTGTAGGAGTTTTGGCGTGAGTTTTGCTTCCTCATTGCTTCCTCAATTTAGTAACTCATCGCTATGATTTTAGCTTTACTCATGCTGCAAAATCAACAAAGTCTACTCAACATGGCCTCAGATCCCGCGACAAGCGCCAGTACGCCACTTGAACTCTTTCAAAATGCATCATCGCAGAGCCCTCTGAACGTCTCGGAAAAAGCCAACGTAAACAATGGAGCCAATAATTTTGTGCGCAATGTCAATTTCAATTATGCTCTTTTCAACGAGCTGCTTAGTCAACAACAATCGATTTTCCAAGGCAATCACAAACAAACTTTGCCCATCGGAAACATTAATTTAGTCGATGATAAAGACGAGCTTAAGTTGGATTGTCCGCGACCTTTTTCGGTCACACCTACTCTAGCAACGACTCAATACAATCTTCCAAGTTCAAGCAATTCTAACCATTTTGACCAGAACCAATTTGATCTGAATGCATACATGACGATGTTGGCATCCATGGCATCGGAAATGGTTAAGGATGTTATGGGGTCCGGAAATCAAAGTATGAAGAATAGTATGCAACCAAGTATCATGCAAAATTCCGCTTTCATGGCTCCAAGTCAAAAAGATATCTTGGAGCAAGGAGGTCACAATTTTGGTTCGGCTGTTAATTTCAAAGTCCAGAGTCAGCCCAATAACTGGATGAATTTGTCAAACGGAGGGACGAAGATGTCAGCCAATCGTGGAAATCACGGGGGTCAAATGCAGAACAGGAGCAATAATGGCAACCGTTTCAAACAGAGTTATGACTCAGCGGGTGGGGCTAGTGGAGGCATGCATGGTAATAACTCACATCATGGACATGGGAGACATCAAGGTTACCAGCGGCGATCGTGGAGCCGGGCGACAAACTTGCTGCTGGCAAATGTGGGACTTGCTGTTGAACAATTCAAAGCTATCGAAAATGAGCGGAAAAAGGTCTAACTGTTTTCCCACATTCAGCGACATATTTTTTTCCACTACAAATTGCAAGTTTCCTTGAACGATATGTATTTGCTCATTTAAAGCTGATTCATTGCTTCCAGTAATTTTTTACCCTTTGGATACCAATGGTATTGCAATCGGGTACTAGACGTTTTTTTCCCGTAAACACTTGTCCACAGACGCATTGGACTCCTGGTGGTACCTTCCTTGGTTCATATTAAAATTTTAGATTGTCTCTTGGACACTTAGGCTGGTGGTATCGAATACGCCTAGGATGGCTAAGGTACTGGGTTCGAATCTGACCAGGACCAGTTTTTTTTTCAAACGGTAAATGTTCTGGTTCAAAAAAAAATCGGCTTACTATTTAACTGCTATATTTTGTCGGCTTAGTTGCCTTATCTAACAATCGTTTTTTTAGCTGTAAACAATTTTCATTGCAGCCATCTTCAGCATTTTAAAAATCCGGCCCGAATCGTAATTTGCTTTTCGTATTGGTTGTATTTTAACCAGCTCATTTTGTTGAATTTTTTTTCGTCTTTTTTTATTGGCTTAATAAACGTCGGCCTAATTAACATCGACTTAGTGACCTTTTATTTCCTCTTTACGTTTAGCATTTTTTAAAGTATTTTTAAATAAGTTAAGTATTTTGAAAAAATGTCTTTTCGACATGAATGGTTTCTGCTTAGTTTTTTTTGGCTTTATTACCGCTTGGTCATTATAAATTGAAATCCAATCAAGCATCTGGCGCGTTGTAAACATAAACTGCTTGAGACGGCAAAGATTTGCGGCTCGAATCCGGCTGGGCCTTTTTTTACCAACTAGTTTTTGTGCTTTTTCGGACTATCGCACGTCTGTTTATATTTGTCGGCTTAGTTCCCGAAGCTCAATGGTTTAACTTTTTTCCAAGTTGCTGTAATCCATATGCTTGAGACGATAAAGCCCGGGAGTTCGATTCCAGTTGAGACCTTTTTTCAAATAGAGGTTTTTCGGCTAATTTAGATTGTCTGTCTGCTTATTTTTGTCTGCTTAGTTCCGCAGAAAGGACTTTTTAAAAACTTGGTTTCTCTATAGCTTTCCCAAAGCTCTATGTAGAGTTTCTAATGGTGCAGGCAAATTTTTCAGGATATTTTGACTTTTGTTGCAGTCTTATTGACAAAAACGATTTTTTGAATTTTCTCGTTTGTTTTTCATGGTCATCCGTATATGTATCGCAATTGATGCGAAGCTCAGCTGCGCCTCTGTGTTTAAAGTAAAGTGAAGGCTAATATCATCTTAAACAATTGTAGCTTGTGACACAGCAACTTGGCATCTGTATCAAGCCCCGGTTATTTCGTGTTAGTAAGTCCTTGAAATTATTGTTTTCAAATTTTTTCTTCAATTTTGCGAAATTTATTTTCAGTTCCTGATACTTCAGCGATCAATTTTCACTTGTTACAAAATCAGCTAGTTGATGTGCAAGTTGTACAGTATAGGCCGTGATCGTTTTCGCAATGAAAAATTGTTTCAAGGTTTTTCTCGCTAATTGATAATCAACGTAATGAAGGTACTAATATAGGTCGAGTTGCAAACTTCCCAATTGTCTTCGTCCTAAATTACTCAATACCCAAATTGCTCAAAATAAAAATTTCCAAATGGAATAAATAATTTCCAAATGAAATAAGAAGCGCTGTTTATCAATCAACGAATGTTTTTTTTTTCATCCGAGAACGAAAACATTTCAAGAGGATTAGGAATGAATAAATTTCTTCCAAAATTTCAATGCCACTGGTTTATAGTTTTTATGCCATTTGGGATATTTTTTTTGTTTTTATGCCATTTGGGAATTATGCCAAAGAAGACGTGTTGCAATCCAGATGATTTTTCAGCCTAGTTTTTTTCCAGAATAAAAAGTATTTTTACTCCAAATTTAAACCTTCGCGGTTTGGCTTTTGATTTCTTTTTCAGTTCAATTCAAACTCATTTGCTAACAGGCCGATTAGTTACATTCTCCATTTTCAAACGCAAAATAGCGCGAAAAACACATGATAAATTTCTATTTTCGAAAGTGGATATTAATTTATAGATTTCACAGCGGGATAAAAAATTTCCCCGTTGATCTAGTTTTTTTTTTAGTTGCATTATTATCAAAAAAGTGTCAACCATGATTTTTTTAAACTAAACAGCTTAAGATCGTATATTTTTCCTTTGTAATTCGTAGTTAAAGTTTTGTTGTGGGCGCTTTGTTTACAGTCGATTAGTGCTGTGAAGACTCTTATATAGATCGTGATTAATTTTTTTTCTTTCATTTTTTTTCGGTCTTGAAATTTGCTCAAAACAAAAGTCTTGAAATTTGTTCAGGCTCAAATTTTTTTGTAGTTTGACTTTTGATTTCTTTTCAAGTTCAGTTCAATACCTTTTTTAAAAAAGGAAAATTCTATAAAAGCTTGATCGAAAAACGTGCTTGACTTCCAATTTCGATAGTAGATTTAAATTCCCAGCTGAATGAAAACATATCATATTGATCCAGTTTTCTCAATTTGAGTTAAATGTATACCAAAAGTGTCAATTTCTTCTTGAATTTCAAAGAGTCTTAAGGCCATATAATTTGATATTGGAAAGTTGAAGTTTTCAAAAAAAAAACAAGTCAGCTTTGTTTAGTCTCCTTGCGTTCATTGACCCTCTTCCAACTGTCTGTTGACTACCTTGTTCCTTTTTTTGGTATGTTGTGCGGAATAGTAAATGTGTTCTTCCAAATTTGTTGACATGTTAGAAGAGTAATTATGTGCATTGAAGCTTGCTGCCTTAGTTTGAATTTTTTTTCTGGTGAAAGTTGTTTGTTGCGTCGTTGCTTCAATGGCTAACACTGCCCCCCTCCCGCAAGAGTGCCTCCGGATAGAGGGGGACCAGTGTTCTAATAACTGAGATGTCCGAAAGTTCTGGAAGTGCCGCCGGTTTTTTGTGAAAACCCAAGCTTTCAAACGGGGATATGTTTTTAATATCACTGCTATGGTGTCTTACTATCGTTTCTTCCATATTAGTGGACACCATAGTGAGAGGTTGTCGATTCAAAGTCGAGGCTTTGAGTCAGTGTTGAGTCGAAACTGGCCCTTAGGAGTGAGCTCAAATGATGTGCTTGATTATTGATCCAATCTCAGGAAGGATAAGCCTCGACTGGAATGCATCAGAGTGCTAAAGTATTCAATGGGGTAGACTTTTGGGCATTTAAAAATGAAGCGATTGCTTTCGTGTGGGTGTTAAAGCACTTGGGACTTTCTTTGGGAACATTAAGGTCAAGTCTGTCTTCCCAACTGATTGCGAGATCAGTTGGTGAGATAAATGTGATTTTTTAGTGAGTAACCTGGGTATAGGAAATTTCCAAAGTTAAACAAGTCAGTCATCTCTATTTTCCTTGAGCTCATTGATACGTTGAGTCATGCTGTTTCTGCTCACATAATTTTTTTAAAATTACAACATGCGATCCACAATTATCTCTCGAAGTATAATGCAGAATGAAAGTGAGAGGAAAAACCTCAGGCAAGCAGTGATCTCTGCATGATTCTGAATATTTTTTGACGATTTTGTTTACTGTTTTGGATATTAATTTTATGAGCATATCAGGTTCAAGAATTAAGTTTCTCGATGGACTTATTTAATCAGGCTATGTTTGAAAGGCAACGATCTGAGCAAATTAAAGGTTTCATATAGCAATACTGTCAGCAATTTTTCTTAATAATTGGATTGTAGTAAATTATATTGTTTAAACCCAAGGGATCCAAATTTTGGAGCAATTTTATGACGATTGTTGTTAATATCATTCATTTCGCTAGTTGGCAGTGATCGCATCAAAGAGATTGTAGCATTCAGAAAGAAAACATAACAAGACTGCTCGTATCAGGGCGAAGCCCTGAATGTTCCGACTGCCAATTAAGGTTTTTGGAACAGTGATAACATTAAAAAATTGAATTAAATAAAACAAAACGAGTTTCAAATTTTTTATGAAAATCATCTCCCCACACGCCATATAAAGAACAAAAGAATAGATTTTGCTCCTTGTAACAATTCAATTATGGCAAATAAGCTTCGTTCAACCAATTTGGAACGATTTATAAGACGTATTAAATCTCCGCTTACGCGTTAAGAGCGCGAATTATATCGCGCGTTAATTGTCCCAAATTGGCCAAAATGGCAATCTTTAAACCCCCATAACTTTCCGAAAAATGATCACAGGTGAAATATTTTTTTCAAATTTGAGCTCAGGACAACAATACCTTTAGAATTATATTTAAAAATTCCGTCAAAAATGGCTAGTTAAAAAGTCGAAATTTGTCTGAAGAAAAAAAACCCACCCCGAGCACAAACATTCCGTTACTTTCGTATCGAAAGTCGGAACAATTACTATCCACTACCCAACGCCCGTGAACTGTGTTTTCATCATTTAATTTGTCTATAGTATGTTCTTTGTTCTCTGGATTATAAACCATTTTCTCGAAATGGGAGCAAAATTGTTCCGACTTCTTTATCTCACGGCTTTTGCAGGCTTGAGAATAGAGCTAAGTTGGCCTTCCTCTAGTGCATTTTTGTAAAGCGTTTTTTAAAAACTTTTTTTGGAGCAATTTTCTTAAAAATACTTGATAATAATCCATACCGTGATTGGATTTGGTTGGAAAATTATATCCCGTTTCCTCTTTCTGTGTTTCAAATATTTTCAGCAGCGTTAGCTTGAGCTACGACACTTTTAAATTAATTTCTCAATAATTTCATTTTTTAGAAAACATTTTTTAGAAAAACTTTCACCTGACAATTGCTATTCGACGATTTTAGGTTTTGTTCATTCGCCTTTTGACAATCTAATTGACGCTGTTTTGGAGAAAGTAGCTCCTTCGTAAAAATTGGTTTTGATTTGAAATGATTAAATACTCGCGCGAACAACGATTTTGTTTAAACCCAAGGGATCCAAATTTTGGAGCAATTTTATGACGATTGTTGTTAATATCATTCATTTCCCTTGTACCCAGCAAATGACACGCTTTTAAAATGCCTAATTACTGGGCTGAGCTTGTTCTGGGAATAAGCCTTAAAAAGTTGCATACCTGATGAAAAATAGGCCTCTGGCTTTGAATTGGTATATTTTAAAAATTATACCATCGTTTGAAGATCGTTTGCTTCTGTTGGTCGATACGCTTCTTTTCCACTCAATTCTTCATTTGATGAATAGCATCTTTAATTTCTTTAAATTCAATTGGTGTTTAACAGCAGGCTTGGTAACGTTTTTCAAAGATATATTGTTTAATTTAAAAGCATAACTTTTAAGAATCAGCTAAACTTTGAGGGGAAATTTTTGCTGCAGCGAAAAACGTGAATTGTTTGCGACTTTCTGTTGGAATAATGATAACACTGTTGCTATTCTTTGCTAGACTGAGGTATCATTGGCACACCTCTTCCCCGAGCACGACATGCGAAGCGACAACAGACGTCCCAATCAGCCCCCTCCAGTGCCCCCGAACCCCACCAGGGTGGACAGACTAGTGGGTGAGATGCAGAAGGAATATCCAAAAGTAAGTCGAAGAGCTCAGCAAATCACTATCCTTTGAAAAGCCCTTCATTATCCAAAAATATGGATTATTAAAATATTATTTTCTGAATTGAAAGCTGATCTTTTGTAATGTAACTCAATGAATTCGGCAAATATTAAAATTTGATGGTTGATTTTATATTAAAGAATGGCTTCTAGAAATTTTAGTATCAAAATGAAAAAATATTATACAATTTCGCGAGGTTGATTTTAAAATGATTTAGATCATGAGGAATAAATTCTTTTTTATTCAGCAAATACGTAGTTTATTCCGACTTTAACGTGGAATATCAATTGTGGTTTTTAGCTCAATCAGTTTAACTGTGATATTTTATCTTCTTAGCTGCAATACCCGAATAAACGGGCTTTTAACGGAGGATAAAATTTCCCTGAAGTCTGTAAACGTGGGGAAATTCACAGTATCTCTAGGCCGACCTCTCACTCTATTCCGCGTCGCCGCAATATGTTTCCCTTTAGCACTGGGTCGGTGGGGCAACCAAATCCCAGTACTGTTTACAATCCCAAAAGGGTTGATTTGGTGGATAGCCGTTCTGTATCGTATTATGCTGCTCGCCCCTTGGTTGTGCTCTTTCGACTGTATCTCGCTCGCAATCAATAGTCAATCGCAACAACAATTCCAATAATAATAATGAATTAAGAAATAATCAATCCAAATACAGAATAGCCTATAAGTGGCTGGAATATAAATTAATCATTCAACCAAAGGAATGGGTCCGCGATTACTATTATTCAACCAACTGCCTCCTGCAGTTCAATTAACGCCTAACTAATATTTAATGTTCTCCTCGAGAACTTCTATCAATTATCAATCGTTTGACAACGATTCCGCTATCCTCTAGATAGCCTAACTAACTTCACTAACTAATCTAACTTACTTTAACGAGTAACTTAACCCGTTCTCAGCGAGAATAAAGCGACTACCTTCAATTGCAGCCCGAATTGTTCTCGCTTTAACACTGTGAGACCCGACTAGTTTCAAATAAACTCACAATCGTTCTGACGCTTAAAGGCCGTTCCGCAACATCCGTGCCTTATGTCTATTTACTCTTAGTTTTAGTTAGAGATCCGTCATTCCGTATAGGTCTTAACATTTACCTATATGCCTCCTACGCAGCTTTCCAGTTCATAAATCCCGCATGATCACATTAATTTAAATGCCAAGTTCAAAATGCCAATCAAAGCTATGCTAAACAAATAACAAGTGCAACTTCAACTTAATTCAAGCTATGTTTACATATCCAAATACCCAAGGACTTTATTTAATTATCCCGTAACTTTTCCCTTTTCCCATGACTAGGATAAATTCCCAGTGAACTTAATTTCCTAATTATCGCAATCCAAAAATTCCCATACGTAACCTATTCAAATTTCAGCCTAATCGACCTTCAGGGTAAGCCGTTCCCTCAACTGGGGTCCAATTGAGCCAATAAAACATTCCCCAGAAGCCAATGGAATATCCGGTACATTTCTAATATTTATGTTAATTAATTCCCTATTCCCTCTGTCATATTGCCAAATTAATATGTGACTACTTTTCTGTGCCATTGACGCATTTCTATTAATGGTTCATTCGCCAAGTCAAAATTTAACCCAATGTTTATTTAACTAACTCGTATTAAATCCAACAATATACCACTATACATTAAGCCAAGATATTCCATCGAATTCCAGGAAATGCCTAACTAATTTCCTATGCACGCAAATTGTCACCCAATATCAATAACATATCTCTATTAACTCCCCTGATTACGAGACATATGATTTGGGCTACTTTCCGGTGCTAATTTTAGGGGTTTCGGGGCTAAAATTCCAAAAGGTCAAGTAAAGGTCAACCCGGGGTCACCCGGGGTCAAGTCTCCCATAATCGGTTCGAGGTCACATGGGGTCATACCTACCAAGTTTCATCCATATCCGACAAATACTTCAAGTTATCCCACTTTTAATGTTCATTATCACTTTTCCCGGGAAAGGTCAATTAGCACCAGAAAGGTCAACCGGGAGCTGAGACCTATAGGGGTCCTTTTTACCGGGGTGGGTTATACTACACATATAAGCCATAAAATCGATATGCCCTCGCGCATTATTTTTCGCAAATAGCCCATTAACACCTAAAAGGGGTGATATTCCCAAGTGCTAATAGCCCGTGCCATTGTCACCCAGTAGGGTCATCATCCTAATATACGATAGACCATGTCACTATCTACCATCCCTCCAAGTTTCAGCTCCCTAGGGTCATTGGGGGTCGAGAAGTAGCCTCCGGGAATCGTGTGGGGGTTTGTTTGTTTAGGGCATAAATCGGGCCGGGGTGACCTTGGAGATCTGGAATTCCAAACTTAAGCTTCCCTCATCCAGGGCTACCACATATTTAAAAATGAGCTCAATCGGATCATTAGTTAAGGGTTTCCGGTGGGGCCATTTGCACTTCCGGGAACCGTTATCACTCGGCCCCCAGGGGGTCAAGCGGGTCCGGCGCTTTGCATGCCCGGGTCAAATCATCTCTAGTATCACTCCATTAAATTTCATAAAGTTCGCCCCAGTAGTTCCCAAGTTGGGGGGAGTTGGCGGGAGCTATTGCATTCACTATTTTCACTAAAGAGGGGGATTAATTCCATGAACTTAAGCAAACACACGTTTAGTTCGATCTTAACTTAACCACTCTATTATTTACCAATCTTTACCAGACGCTATCAACGAATCAGCTCTACTACTACTTAGTTTGCATGTTCAAGGTTCAAAGAAAAAGCCATGTACGTTATACAGTAGAATTACCGATTCTACAGTCTTCCCTTCTAGTCTATTATTCTCCCGAATAATGAAAAAGTAACTCGTAAAAAGCCTAAGGTTAACTTACATAACGCTTCGCTCCGCTACGCCGTACTCTCGTCTTAATTTAGTTTCCACCCTTTAAAACAATACCCTTAAAGATCGCGGACCCATCAGTTAGTCCCCGTAAAACAAACAATGATATAGCACAATGAATGACCTAAGAGGGACGTAACTGCAATAATTTTACTCTTCATGGTACGATCCAACCCCTTCACATTCGTAATAATCACTATCAATCAATGTGTCCGCACAGCAGTTCAGGTGGGATCGCACTCAATGTAAACAAGCACCAACTAATGAGATTAAGAAAGGAGTAAGTTTATTAATGTAAGTTTTAACTCACAAAATCGTCGATTCCAAACCTCACAGGTTGTCTCCTTACTCGAGTTGGTCGACCGCCATCATCTGTTGTCGCATTCTCCATCACTGGTTCAGCCGTCACCATCTCTCCGGGTGGTCTGCCTTCCGCCTCACTCGGTAGATTTGCAGGCTCCTCTTCCCTTCTGGCCTCGAGCTCCGTCGCATCGTAGGTCTCTACTGCATCTTCTTCCCTCCTAGCTACTTCGTACACACGTGGTGGATCAGCAAAGTGTTCGGGCATTGCCCTGTTTCGCACGTTTCTCACAGGTGGATTAGCTTGTGGCTCCACTGCTCGATTCCTCACAGGCAACAATCTCACTGGTCCATCTCGTGGGCCTGGGTCATGACTAAAACCCTCCCGGTTGTTTTGCCATAACAACTCATCTTCATCACGCATCTCCGGGTCATCGAAAAAGTTAACCGACCGATAGGGTGCCGGTCGCTTACTTGCTGTGGCCTCCTCTGACTGGATCGTCTCTTCTTTGACTCGTTTCAGCTTGTTGAAATGCAGGAACTTCACTTTGCTCGGAGTTGATTCCTTCGCAACTTTGTAGTTCACTTCCGACATTCTCGCCAGTACAACATAAGGTCCTTCCCACGGATCGAAGTGCTTCTTCGACTTGAACTTTTCCTTCGCCCACACCCATACTTTATCGCCAGCTGTATAGGGTTCACCATGAACTTTCTTCCAGTACTGATCCTCCTGTCTTCGTTGATCCGTCCCTACGAGTTCTCTCGCACTGCTATGAGCATCTCTGAAAAGTTCATCCAGTTCCTCTGCAAAGCCATCCTTCGTCAACACTTCATCATGAGGTTTCGCATAGAACAAATCAATGGGATACTGGCATTCTTGACCGTGGACCAAACTAAACGGCGTAGCTCCCGTTGTCCGATGAGTCGTCGTGTTATACACAAAGCCCAGATACGGCGACATTGTATCCCACGTCTTTGGGTTCTCCGCACAGTACTTCGAAATCACCTTCGTCATCTTATCGTTATATCGCCCCGTCAATTCCTTGCCCTCCGGTTTGTAGGGCAATGTCGCAGTTACGTCGATTCCCAAGAGTCGGCACATCGCCTTGATCAATTCACTGCCAAAGACTTTTCCTTGGTCCGTACGCAAAGCATTGGGAGTTCCAAACTTCAGTACCCAATGTTCCACAATTGCCTGCGCCACATCAGCTGCATCCGTTGACACAAGAGGAACCGTTATCGCATACATCGTGAACATATCCGTCATCACTAGCACGTGCTTCGCTTTCGTCTGAGACGCCATTGTCATCGGACCAAGTACATCCACTGCCACTGTGTTGAATCTGATTCCGGGATCAAACGGAGCCTGGACCGCAGCTCGCTTTCTCTTCCCGCTGACATTATGTGCTGCCTGGCTTAAGCACCACTGGACTTTTCTTTCGACATCCGTCCTCATCGTCGGCCACCAATATCGTCGTCGTATCTTCGCCAACATCTTCTCGGTCGCAAGTTGTCCTCCCCCAGTTTCCATCGAGTCAAACTGTCCGAGGATCTCCTTTCGTCCCGCTGCTGGAACAACCGTCAAAAGTGTCGGCTTTGACCCATCTCTCTGGAACCATTTCTTATAGAGTATTCCACCTCGAATACTCAGCTCATCCCATCTCGACCAGTATGCTAGTGCCTCAGGTCCGTACTGAATTGCCTGTCCCTTCGGAATAAGATTCGTTCCCAAAGAAGGCATATCGCTCGTCTCGTCTGCTGTTTCCGCCCAATAGAATACTTGCGCAATCGCTTCGTCTTCTT